CGCATGGCAATGCCACTCCCCCGTAGGTGCAATCCAGCGCGGCGGTTCCTGATTGGAGGATGCTGACGCCACCAGTGGCGGTTCTGATTGCACGTTGCTGACGTAAGAGTGCACCCGGGGCCTATAAAGAACCAAGCGGCGCGATGCCAAGAAGCAGACCTAAGCACCAGAAAGCAGACGATAGCGTCAGAGCGTCCGAAAACATCCTGGTTCTTCTAGCTCCTCAGTTGTCAGCCCCAATATTCAATATGTAATGCCTCTATTTTATGCTGTACACAAATGTTGCCTTAACTCACCGCCGTCTGGTCCGCTCGTTTATCAGCTCCGCGCAGAAGCAGCTGGGAGCTGAGAAACACGTTCTACCGAAAAGTGACGGCAGCGGCCGTCGTCGTAACAGGGTATGGTATTTTAACAGTCATGTAGTAAGCTAGCAAGCTCAGCTGCTTTCGAATATACAAATGGTTGTGTTGTGCTCCTGTCACATGGTCACCACCAAGCCCCATCAACGTAAACTTCCCCTAGGTAGTTCGACGGCGATGGAGTTGTGGCAGTGTCACACAGGAATAACAAGGTTGTAATTGTTGCCGCGAGGAGGCTCGACGGGCACCGCTTGATTTTTGCAGAAGTATCCTAATTTTATCCCTAGTAGCGTTTCTCGCGTATCTTCGTTTTGCTGTTTTTACAAAAACACTATAATAAGTAGGGCTGAAGCGAACTAAACATTAAAAACTTTTTTTCAAATGAAAACGCATTCGCTGAATATGGCGATGCTGGCAGCGACGCTGGCCAACTTGTGACTAGCGCTATGTTTGTTTACAATTGCGCCGTGCTCTATGACTAGTTGTTTTTGTAGCCCGCAGGTTAATTAGACCGGGTCCCATTACCCATTGCTGCAGCCGTCGAAGCAGGCGATGATTATGCAGCGCTGTTAGTGATTCCTCTCACGGGCAAACGTAAACACGGCGATGACAACAACCGGATGCACGATGATGATCATGATGAACAAACTTTATTTAATTAGCAGAAAGGTCCTCTTCCCCTTTCAGGTGCGAGAGGAGAAGGGAGGACCAAACCTAGACGACGGCCATGATCCCATGGGCCCTGGCGGCGTCTTCGACCTGCCGTATTAAGCGAACGAAATATTTTAAAATAATAGCACCCGGCCCGACTCGCGAGTCGCGAGGCATGGTGTGGAGAGTACCTGCACCCTGGCGGGCGTGTGTAGATATGTATAAAACACGTTATGAATTATTATACAGCATTAAAAGAACGTTTATTATTGCAAAATGTGCTATTGTTCTCAATGCGGCAATTTAGTGCACGAAATCTTTTTTTGACCTGCAGATACTGGGGACGAGAGTACCTTGTTCTACTGCAAAAGGAGATCATCGAACGTCCTTCGCGAAATGCTCCGTTTACCTTTGTTTGCGTAAGGGTCGTCGTGCGACACGGACCGCTTCTCCCTTGTCGTAAGGACGAGGAAGTTAAATGGCGTTCGCGGGTGCCCGTGGGACAGGTGTATTGGAAAGCCAGTGCCCTATCTCTAGGTGTACAGCGGTTGACTTTTTGGCGTAGCTTCAGTTTACAAACGCACTTCCTTTTCATATGAGTCCGACCATCACGTTTCTCCCCGTAAATAGTTGATATTGCGTACGACGAAAAATTCTTCAAAGCGGCAAGACTGCGGATGTATCAATAAACTGCCATAATCCAATCTTGACGCCACTGCTCCTCGCACTGCTTGCATTAGAAAGAGCTCTGCCACTTTTCAAACTTTGTAGCAGCGCACAATGTAGCACGAGTGCGTGCCTGCTTTCCTGGAGGACGAAAGAACGGCGCAGATAGCGTGCGAAAAGCAAGATAAAAGCCCCAACGAACACGTTTTCTGCGCGTGCGATGGGAGAAGCAAGCAACCGCGGCCCGTCTGAGTGACCGGAGGTTAGCCTTCTCTCTGCTAGGCCGGCGAACGGCGCTACGCTAACTTGAGCCTGTCTTGGTCACGAAAACAAAGCAGAGTCACTGCCTCGCGGCATCTGGCTGAAACAGTGACGTGTGGACATGGCCTCCGAGATTGTGGGTGCGCGGCAACCAGCCGTGCGCCCACAATCTCGGAGGCCATGGTGTGCATTGCTCCTTGCGTCGTCTGCTAGCCACGTCGTGTTTCTATGTGCGCATACGTCATGCACGTTCTCAAAGTGTGGTTTGTCTGGTCGTGTCAGCATGAGCGCAACTGTTCTTATGTATGCCTGAAACGACGTGCGAAAGCATTTGGGTTGTCTCGGCTGCTAATGCATTGAAATAAGATCAGCGAGTGGAACTTTCCGGAGCGCTGTGTATTGTCGCCGTACCCTCCATTCATCAGAATAATATCAGAGTGGGTGCAGCTTTCTGTATTAAGCACATCGTAAAATGCTCTTGGAATCCTCCCAAACGTCAGGACTTTTAAATGCTGTGTGAATTCAGCGTTTTATAGCGACTCGATTGTAGCAAAAAAAAAAAAAAACAGGCTTTAGGCCACGCACTTGCGCGCTGTTGGTAGGTGTGTACAGCTACGGCACTGTAGTTCATAGATAGTGCGAGGAGCCTTATAGTTGTGTTTATCTGGGTGCGGTACCACTACATAGAAATATTACTATCACATAAACTGTGAGATTTCGGTACTTACACTGTACTTAATACAAAATTACCGTGCGCAACCGTGTGCTTAGACACCGCCTCCTCTAAGTCTAAGCCAGCGCCTATAGAGGAGGCGCTGGCTTAGATTTAGGAACGCTTTAAAGAGCCTAGACGTTGAACAATCGATGGCATACCTTGTAAATAATGTCGTTTAACTTCACTGAAAATTTCATATTTTTTACATTGTTTTCATCGTTTGTGTGGCATTGTCAGTGACCGACGGAAGGCAGGGGAAATTTTTTGTTTGAAAAAACAAACGAGCTTGTTCCACTAACCAGGCCTTTGTTGTAGCACCGTCATGCATGTAATCCATCGATGAAATCCCCATGCTGAACTCGTAAAAGATTCTTACTGGTGCAAGAACATGTGCGTACACGTGGTAAATGCAGTGTAGCGCAAGGCGCCGTCAGGTACTGACTATACTTATGGATTGCCCCACATTTCAAGGGGGACAGAATGAGCTAAAAAAAATATCATATGCGTATAATGCGCGAACGGGGGTACTGAATGAATCGCACAGATATGCGGGCTTTTTACGAACTTCCTTTCTATTTTTTGTAGTATGCAGATGACGAAGATGTAAACAAGTAGTTCAGCCATGCTGCAGCAGTGCGTAGCAAGCGGAACACAAGCTAACCGCTTACAAACAGCATAGAAAATACGTGATTTAGTGCCAAAGCGTGAAGAGAGTCACCCAGGGCGAGCACCCCTATGAAAGGCAGAATGCGCTTTACTCGCGGGTAATGTTAACGTTGCGTAGTCGTCGTGTACCGATTCAGTAGAGAAAAGCGTAGGTATTAACAGTCAATTGTAGTCAACGCATTTTATCTACCGACGATCGGCTCAGACCACACGCAACGAAGCGCCGCCACGTGTATTGTATTTGTATACGCGCCGCCGACCGCCTATCATCACTTGCGCGGAGATGGTGCTGCCACCTATAGTCCGATCTCACCGCGAATACGGGGTGGCCGGTGAACGGTTGTGCTGGTATTTTTTAGATGCGGAGCATCTTATACTCGCGCCTTGTAGTGCGCCGTCCGCGCCGTCCGCACTGCTTCTCGAACATTCGACAGCTGACGCGCGCGCATGCGCCGTCGCCCACTCTTCCACCATCTGTGCATCCCTTCCTCCTCTACACACCGCGCGCGCTTCACTCCTCCACCATCTGTGCACCCTTCCTCTTCTACACACCGCGTTCGACATCTACAATTCTCCTGATTCTCCAGTGGACGCGCATGTGGCGTCGCGCTTCGAGAACATTCAACAGCTGACAGTGCATGCGCCGTCGTGCTGTATATATACTCAAGGTCGGCGCTCGTTCACTCAGTTGCCGCTCGTCGGTTGGTTTGTACGGCGCGTCGACGTCCAAGGTCGCGGTGAAATGAATTCCAACGAATCCACAAACACAATGATCGACGTCCCTTCGACCAGCGCCGCCCTTTCGCATACGTGTGTACGTGTTCACTCATTTAACACCCCCTCCTACAACCACGTTAACCAATTTAGCCATCGACCCAAGTAAGTCGCAATTTAACACCCCATTTCACAACCACGTTAACCAATTTAGCCATCGACCCAAGTAAGTCGCACTTTAACACCCCGTTAACCAATTATATGGTCCGCATCCTCCTCAGTGTTCCCCCGAGGGAAGCTGCGGGCAATTTTTTTTAATCAAGAAACTCGCAAGCAGACTCTGCCTGCGTCGGCGTTGCAAGGCGATAGAGGGGAGGGGGAGGTGAGGGGACATGCATGTTCAATGGTGGTGTAAACGTCGCGGGGAAGGATGCCTAAGTACCTAGATGCCTACAGGAGGGAGAAGGGGAGCGAGAGTAGGCTAGCAAGCGTTGCCTGCGTCGGCGTTGCGAGGTGAGAGGTGGAGGGTACGCGCTTGCGCTTTGAGTGGGGGGAGGAGCTGTGGACGCTGCAGGACAAGAAACACAAGCCCCGGCATTAAATACTTCGCATCTAAAAATAGTCTGACTCACTACAGGCAGCGGTCAGTAAAATGCATTTGGATGCGCCGGGTCATTGCGTGTGTCGGCCTATGTTTGAAACTCTAGACACAAGCCCCTTACCCCCCCCCCCCCCCCCATGCTAGCGAAAAGGTTGGTACGCCACTGGCTCGGAGGCAGTTTGCAGCTGCTGTGCGCATGATCGCGAAGGGTGGTGGCCAGCTTCGGGCTGGATCATAACTAGATGAAGCCTACGCGCCGCGACGTCGCTACAAGCGTCTCAGTATGTCGACGGCACCTACCGCTGTTCACTGCTGCATCATGCAGTGCTGAAAGAGCACGACTTCATCAGTTCGATTTCCTTTGCAGTTCGGTGCTCGAGTTTCACCACGCAGCTTTCGGCTTCAAACTGACGCTGTCGGACGAGAAGGTCAACATATTCCAGAACATGGAGCGTGACGTCTACCGTACGGTGCGAGCTTCCATCATCGACATGGTGCTAGCCACTGAGATGACTAAGCACTTCGAGCACCTGTCCAAGTTTCTCAATGCCTTTCAGAAACCTGCCCAAGACGACGACGCGTTTGGGCCAGAGGTGACTTGCACTAAAGACATAAGTACTATTAAACCTTGCATTGTAGTAAATATTCACATTAATATATTACTGCTATATCCCGCTTCTCTTGACACATAACATCCAACTCCCCTAGCGGTCCCGACTTGAAGCTAGCACGTTTTCAATTGAACCAGTGAGTTTTATCGAATAATTATTTGTAGAGTGTGAATGCTGAGAAACGCAGACAACAGAGCGCGTCTGGGAACCTGAACGGACGAGAACGCTGCGGCGATCATGTTGGGGTAAACTGAAATTTTGTTCCCAGAGCAGTTAAAGATCGTACGATGGGAGTCTACAGAAACGGCGAAAAAAAAGTGGCCTGTTTTTCGAGACAAAAGCGTTCACTGCAGTAAAACTAAGCAGGTTCCATTGAAGGTCAGTGAACCGCATGTAGTCTGACACTGACTTATCCTAACACTGAGATTCTATCTATCTATCTATCTATCTATCTATCTATCTATCTATCTATCTATCTATCTGTCTATCTATCTGTCTATCTGTCTGTCTGTCTGTCTGTCTGTCTGTCTGTCTGTCTGTCTGTCTGTCTGTCTGTCTGTCTGTCTGTCTGTCTGTCTGTCTGTCTGTCTGTCTAGCCGCCCACGTGTGTATATATCGTAGTATATCCCATACTAATTTTTACCGTGATAGCGTTGAAGAGCTGGTGTCGCAGAAAACCCGCCATCGGCGTCGGCCCCGTCGGTTGTGAGCGAAAAATCGTCTGTGCGTCTGTGACCGAAAAATCAAGTTACCGAGATAGCTGCGAGAGGCCGCTACTTGTCCACGCGTGCGCGCGCGATCACACTGATAAATCCGCGCATTCGAAGAAAACAAAGTGTTCAAGGTCATGAAGAACGGTAGTTTCTTTGCCCTGCCACCCCTCACTGCTTAGCTTCCAGCGCTTTTGTCGGGAATAGAGAAGAGATAATGCAATTGCAGCATGCACAAACATTTGTAGCTCCACTCGCACTGGACGGATTCTTAAAATTTTGGCGGCGTTGAATTCGTGAGGCAGAAAATAATCTAGTGAATTCATTCCATGGTTACTTGAAAAAAATGTTTCAGGGCCCTTTAACGCATTTTGTTCGACAGGTGTCACGACGAAAACTTGCCCACTGGGTGATAATAGCGCGCGCTGGCCCTATCTACTGTGTGCGTACGTGTGTATGTAACAAAACATATAAATAAGTATGCACTTACCGGTTGAAGTGTGCACTAGGGACCGGATTTCGCTGTCGCATTCAATCCTTAAAGGCGAAGCTTAAGGGTTCCCCAATTTTCATCTACTAGGTATGAAGGTGATATACGTAGTATATATCACCGCATATTATATACCGCAATATATACTACGTATACCACCTTCTTCTCTTGGGTTAAACCATAATTAGTATTTAGGTGTAAGAAAGCTTGTCGAATAAGTTGCGGGATCGAATCCCAGCTGTGGTGGCTGCATTTTCGATGGAGGTGAAAAGGCTGTAGGCCCGTGTGCTCAGATTTGCGTGCACGTTAAAAAAACCCAGGTGGTGAAAATTTCCGGAGAGCCCTCCCCTATGGCGTCTCTCATAATCACATCGTGGGTTTGGGGCGTTAAACTCCACATATCAATGAAAGCTTGTCGAATAAGTTTGGCAGGTCATGACATGATTAACTTGCAAATCTCGTTGCGTACGTACGTCCACAAACCTTTTCCTCCACACATTTGTAACACATGACCACATACTCCGTGTGGCGGTATGCTGGTACACGACATCGGTGATTGACAGTTTGTTGACCCTGGAGCGGCGGGAACAACCATTTGTAATTTAAATACGATAGCGCCAAGAAAAACTGAAATCAGCAACCCCGATGAGTGCACAAGGTAAATATTAGGGTCCCATCAGGAATTGAAACCAAGCATTCTGCGTGGCAATCAAGTACAGTACGACAGCGCCACGTTAGGTCTCAAAATTGCTTCTGAAAAACCCCCTATTGCTAGCGAAACGGCATTTGTGGTTGCGTTACTGGTCATTCAAATTTATAAACATCACGTATGTGCTCCTACTACACAGGATTCACGTCGGCTTAGCGTCAGTTATATACTTCATTGACATCCGCTGAAGTTGGTCTACGCACCATTAACCAGAGTTACAATCGTCGCAACCACAAGCGCTACATATCCGCTTATCTCTTTTGTATTGGTAATGAGTTAACCATGTTGCTGTTGGCACCATTACACAACGGTAAACATCTGGTTATGTAAAGCATACGCGACTGTTCAACATATGTCTGAGCGACGAGATTTGTACATGTATTTAGCATGATTTCATAAACTTTGGCTGAATTAAAAAGTACAACAAGGTCACACTCCTTGCGCATGCTTCGCATTACATCAATCCCCATGTTTCGTGGGCTGCCAATTAAAATGACGAAAAGTCCCTCCTGTCTATGGAATCAGGACTTATGTCAAGCTGCAGGGCTTCTTCGGAGAGGCAAAAAATAGCATTCCAGTAAATATTTACTTTCGTGTTTTATCTCAACCGTGCTGTTGCGATGTAAACTCTATGGACACTATCAATAGATTCTCGCCATCAACGCCGCCATCACCGTCATGTTCCTTAAAAAGTCCCCATCGACGTCATTCCCCTGTGTACCGTATGATCTACGCACTGGTAAGAGCGCGTGAGCTGCAGGGACGAACGCGGATGATCAAACGTATCGGCAGATCTCCGTCGATCAGAGGGCGCATGCGATGAGATCGACCCGCGGGTGAAGCATGCCATTCAGTGCTGCTGAAGCAAAGCGTAATTGGCTTTGAGGACGCACGAAAATACGCGGACGTGAAGGTAGGGGTGGGGGAGGAGCGTTCGAGTAGCGGCTGTGAACGTTGACTATAAGGACGCGGTGACGAATGCTATATTGACAGATATCAGCGGACGTCTTGCATACCGTTCTACGTTCTTCGCTGTGAAAGAGAAGCGACTGTGCGGATTCCCCTTTCCTACCGCGAGCAGCTGTGTTTTGTTGCAGCAGCATTTTGTGGAGTTACGCAACACTGGGTGTAAAAATTTAGCTTTACTTAATTTATCACTACCGCACTCATTACAGAACCCTTGCGGTGAAACTGGAATATTTTGTCATAAGTTGTCATATCAAAAGCACTGCGTGAACAGAATACGACCAGCATGCCTTCTTTCCTGAACCCCATGATGCTCTGTGCACTGCGTCGGATAGGTTTGTGTGTTAAGACGTATGTAGATCAAAGCTTTCAGAAAGTTCCTGAGACTGGTGGTGTCAGAGGAAACAACAAACCGTCATTGTTAGAACATATTTTATGATCGCGATTAAGTCTTTTTTGTTGCTCGAAAGAGCAAGAAACCAGCGCTCATGCATTTTTATCACGTTTGAAAATTTCGTGAGCTTGTATGATTCTTTCTACATTTTTCGCATATTTCATTTGCTCTATTCGTTTTTTTTTTCTTGGCAAAAACGCATATACATATATCTATGCTCTAAAGTATAGCCAGCTGCCCCACGCTTTCCGCATTGAGATGGCCGATACCACAGTCTGTGACCACTGTGACAACGAAGAAATCATTCCACATATTTTTTCAGACTGCTGACAGTGTAGTGGACAGTGACTAGGTCTTTGCAACGAGCTCAACAAATGAGATAACCAACGTCTGGTAAAAAAATAAAATATTACAACTGGGTGAAGGTTAAACTCGTAGGAGTGGCTTCAACTCCGAGCTATCCAGCATTGAGGCACCCCCAAATGGACTAAGGGCTTTTCATGAACGAAAAAAGCTCTCAAGAGGGCTGCCAAAATATCGCTGTTTGGGGTGCATCTTTTCCTAATATATGTTCTTTAAGTTGCTTATTTTTTAAAATTCCAATGTTGTTTTCGGAGGTTCTTATTACTTTTTCGGAGAAAATATGCACGTTATCGCAGTTTATATATTACTGATTACCCATTCTGTGAAAAAACCGGCGTCTGATTGCTCAGATTTTCTGCATTGCTCCAGAACCATATTCAGTGGTATGTAAAGACGAGAACACCAGAACACATGGAGTAAAATTTAACTGTCAGGGAGGTGCGCACAAACAGAAGCACAGTTAAGTTGAAATATTTCAATAAAGGACTTTCTCCGTATAACAATCCTAAAGCTTGTAGTAATATACGCAAGTGTATAATTGTAATCAATGCAAGAATAGTTCACGAGGTCATTGTCACTGATGAATGTGCATTCCTTTCGTGTGGTGATTCCCAGCCTCTGAAGAAGGGGGAGTATCAACATACCAAGTGATACTTTGCTGTGCTGCTGAACCGCTTGTTAGTATATCATGGTGGTCCTATGCCTCGGAAGCTCATCGTCACATATGGTTGCAAAAACTGTATCTGCCTGTTATCTGCAAACCTCCGGTGAATCGTCGATTTTGATGAGAATGGGGCAGTTTTTTCATAAATTGGTTTGTCGACACAATGTCTTTCGCATTATCTTTCTTCAGTTGTTTATGTAATGAGGAGAGGGTAAGAAGCGCAGATACGCTCGCGCTTAAGAAATCAGTTCTGTTCTAGCCTTGAGGAAGACAAGTCTCGACACAACACCTGTTTACGGATTGTTCATTGCAAGCTTCCATCTTGCGCTTTCTTCGTTTTCTTTAATATTTCTGATATAGGTGTTCATTACTTGACATCGTGCGTGCCACCGAACATTTAATTCGAAAGAGTCCAAGAGATCTATCAGCCAAATTTCGTAGAATTGCAGCAAAAGTAAGGTTAAGTTTATATTAGCCAAATGGGTCAACCGATGGTGTAGCCATCTCGCGGCATCACACCAGGCTCATGCCCTCCCTCCCCCCCTCTTCCCGAATTCATTTTGACTATAATAATCGACGAAGAAGACCCATATTAAATAGGTGCCCAATCCTACATCCCCCCCCCCAAAAAAAAAACAAATCTGCCTACGGCCTTTTCGCCGACGTGTCAATGACGGCTTAGATCA